CTGCCTGGGGCAGCCGTGAGTCGCTGAGCTGGGGTGGGGGCAGGCGTGACTGTGACATGCTCTGGCCTCTGTGACATCACCGGGACAAGTCCCCATGGGAGCAATGACCAGGGGCACCAGCAGGCCGCATGGCCCCAGACCATCCAGCACAGCAGTGAGTGCGCACGCTGGAGAGGTCAGGCTGGACGAGGGCCGGTGCAGAAACACGGCGGTCCCTGGGGGTGGGTTCTCACCCCACACCGAGGGTCTGGCAACTCGCAGGAGCGCCTGGGGCAGGGCACAGTGTCGCCACCGCAGAGGCTGGGCACTGGCCTCACTCTTCTCCTACCTGCTCCCAGCTCCCTGCGGCTCCTGTCTACGCTCCCCACGCCACCAGCTCCCTCCAAGCCCCACTGACTCCATTCTCTCCTTCCTGCGACCATGTTCGCCACCAAACTTCTCGCCTGGGTTGTGTGCTGCATCACCCTTAAAGTACTTCTGGTTGGTGATGAGCTGCATAAGACCACGCAGATGGCTCAGCTGCTGGAGGAGATGAAGCAGAGGAGCCAGGGGCAGAATGGCTTTGCCTGGGGAGCCCTGCTCTTTGCTGCCTTGCAGCAGTGGCAGTTCTGGGCTGTTACTGGAGTCCTGATCCTGTTCTTTGGGCTCTGCTGGTGGCTCCGAAAAAGGAGGCATGAGGCAAGACACAGCAGTGAAGAGGAGAGCTACAGCATTGACACAGATCAGGTAGAAGAGGAGGAAGATGACAACGATGGTGATGATGCAAATCACCTGGGAAGGCTTTTAGAGGAGCACATACAGTGGCCAGTTCAGAACCTGGACAAAGAGTGCCAAGCAGTGAAGGACCTGGTAGATGCCTTCATCTTTTTCTTCAGAGACCTCTTGTCAAATAGTTTCTTCCCAGAGCTGCAACCAGCTATCGGGGTGGGCAGCGCCTTCGAAGGCTGGAATCCCTGTGAGAAAGACATCACCTACCACCTGCTTGTGCCGCTGAAGCCCCCCCGTGGGCATGCCTTCCATCTGGAGCTGAGCCATGAGGGAACGGGGCCAGCAAGGATCTTCTACGTTCGTGTGGAGCAAGTGTGCACCTGCGCAGATGAGCAGCTGGCAGAGAACACGCTTTGCTTCCTCCACCACCCCAAGGAGGAGCTGAGGAGAAATCAGGAGCCCAGCCTCCTACACACCCTCTGCACTGGCTCCTACCTAGATGTGCACAAAACTGCCCGCTGGTTCCATCAATTGGTGAAAGCAGCCTGGGCGGTTTCGACTCTCTCCTCTCAATACCGTCTAACGTTGCTGCCCTCCAACCGCTCCTTCAGGATCGAGGTGACAAAAAACAACACAGAAAGACTCAACATTGAGATGATGTTTGGGGTGCAGGAAGGTTGTTCGGACATCTTCCTGAGCAGCCAGAGTACAGCAGACATCTTCACCTCAAGCACGATGTGGTCAGAGAGCTACGCTGTGGCAGAGGTGGAGTTCTTCAGGTATGTGGCTGAGTCTGCCCTGGCCAACAGCTGCTACCTCAAATGCCTGCAAGTCTGTGCTTGCATCATGGAGGGCAACACCTTTTTCACCTCTGCCTTGAAAACTGTTATGATGCACTTCCTGACCGATTTACCTGTGTCAGGCTGGTGCACAAAGGATTTGCTGCTGTGGCTGTGGGATATCATGCGGTATCTGTGCCTCTGCCTGGAGCACAAACGCCTTGACCACTTCTTCTTTGCCAATGGAAATGTACCCAAAGGGATAATCTTGCCCCTAGCCTTGAGAATAGGCGAGCCTCTCAACATCTTCCAGCATCTGGCACAGGATCCAGATGCCCATGCTGAGGCACTGTGTGAATTCATGGAGCTGCAAGATCGGCTCATGAGACTACTGTTCCAGGCCACTGAAAGACGTCTTCAAGCACAGAGCTGTGTTTGTGGGGCTCTCGGTTAACAGCAGACGACTCTCTCATACAGGAGGGAAAAAGCCGGGACACGGAGAGGAACGGGACAAGCCTGCCTTTTTATTTAACAGGAAAACTGCAGAGGGACTTTTTACAAGGGCGTGTAGTGATAGGACAAGGGGCAACGGATTTAAACTGAAAGAGGGAAGATTTAGACTAGATATAAGGAAGAAATTTTTTACATTGAGGGTGGTGAGGCACTGGAACAGGTTGCCCAGAAAAGTTGTAGATGCCCCATCCCTGGAAGTGTTCAAGGCCAGGTTGGATGAGGCTTTGGGCAACCTGGTGTAGTGGAGGATTTCTGTGCCTATGGCAGGGGGGTTGGAACTAGATGATCTTTAAGGCCCCTTCCAACCCTAACCATTCTATTTTTCTTTGATCCAGCTAAAGTTGCTTTTGCTTTCCTCAAGGATGTTAATTTTGCTCACTGTTCAATAAATTACATTTTCTGAACTGCCTCCAAACGATGACAAAAACCTATCACCTAGACCCAGCCATATGACAAAAATCACTTCCCACATCAGGTCATTTTGAGATCTTTGAGGTCATCCCCTGTTTATTTTCCCTTTCTTTGATGAAAGCTCAACAAAAGAAATGGCAAACTCCACAACACACTAACTTCTTCAAAACAAGGAGTACATGAACTTCCCAACAGATTATGTACAGTTACTGCTAAAGGCACATCCTTTATTAACAGTCTACAGTCATTTAGCTACTTTTGAGATCTGTTTTTAGTATAACATTTAATCCAAGAACAAGTCTAAATTAGTTTGGAACATCAAAGCATGGAGGGTAGATCTTTGCTATAGGAGTCAAGCTGAAGCCTCAGAGCCATTGCTTGTTACCTGCATGTACATACACGTTGAAGATGGAAACCGTTTTCCAACTTTTCTATTTATAAATGCCACTGTAGATTTTGGCAACCAAGTAGCTATTGGCACCAGTAGATTTCCATACATCTCACACCCATGTTTTTCTCACATTTTCATTTTCTTTCTGAATTAAAAAAGGACATTGTTTTCACCTGTTAAATGACAGTGGCAACTGTCCAAAAACCAGGATGAAGGAACCTAGATTATAATTCAATAGCACCAAACATAGCAGTTTCTTTTAAATAACAGCTTCCTTTGTACTGCTGAAGATAAAGGTCACGTCCGTAAGCCTTGCTTATTTTTAGTTCAGCATCATTCTTCTACAGAAAGTATTATCCATTTGGGTTGAAGTAACATTTATAACATAGCCTAATAACTATTATAGAATACAAACTAAAGGTACCTGCGTGAACAAGCTCAAGCTACCAAATCACATTTAAAGAGGTAGCTTCTGCAATACTGGAAATAGACTGGCCATACATAGAAAGGCCATTGTTTTCCTTCAACCTGCTGATCGCAGACCTATCACTTCAGCAGGCAGGTGTTAAGAAACAAGGCAAGTGGTACAAAATCCATACAAAACATTAAATCCCATATTCCATCCCTCAGTACTTTTTTTCAGATGAGAGAATCAATCCAACAAAACAGTGAGATTTCTGGTCAGAGTCCTTCAATAGACTTGGTGTTATCTGTGAGCTTTATTTAGCTGCACAGGTTAGAAGGGGACGCCTAGACTTACAACATTAGATGCTGTAAGGAAAGGTTTTGCTCTTATGAGACTACCTATTGATAGACATCTTAAAAAAGGTACCATAGCCACCCAGCCTCCCATCTTCAAAGGCTTTTTATTCCCTTCTTTAAACCTTCCTCCTCCTTCTGTCCAACTTCTCTCTTCCCAAATACAGCGGGTATCACAGATAAATGAAAGCTAAAAAGGAAACTGCACCGCCTCCTCTCACCTCCGCAAGAAAAGGGTCCTGTTTTGCACTAGGTTAAGTCTGTTGCTTTTTCACCTTTATTCAAAGGTTCCTTGCACTGGAAAAGCAAACATTCACAAGCTCCTAGGACACTCCTTTGATACCTACAGGACGCCAGAAACCCTTACAAGAATCAAAATTCATTAGAGTAGGTTCTCTAAGGGAAAAACATTTTCTTGGAAGTTTCAAGGGAAGGAGTACTTCTTACTCAGGCAGAAGTGATACTGGCCCAGTTCTCGACTACAATCTCTACTTGTACCCTAAAAACAAATCACTATCACAGTAGGGGCACACAATACTTGAAATCAAAAGGAAAACATTTTATGATATGAAAAGATCCTAAAAAACATTAAACAGAAATATTCTTTCTTACAAAAAGGAAGCCATGGTTTAAACATCTGTCTTCCAAAAAATCTTTTAAGGGAGGTTTTATAGCTCTTCAGAAGTGATACTGCACATGCACTAAAACACTGTACACTTCATATACTGGAATTTACAGTTTTCAGTCAGATTTGAGAGCTACAACACACCAAATCTTCTACAAGTCAGTAGAATCTGATATGGAAGTTTCAGGGCGGTAAGAAACCACCCTGTGGTGCAATGACTTAGGACTGACTTTGTTATCTGCCATACCCCCTTTGTCAGAAACTTCACACTCTCCAGCAGGACAGGACTTGTTTGCATGTCAGCTGCCACAGCTCACAAACTGGCACTTCAACCCCAGCTTAGCCCTAAGCCCAGCAAAGCTAAGCAACCTGCATCCTATTTCTGCCACTTCCATGATGGTTGCAGTAGTTACTAGGAGGAGGAGGATGCAGAATTGCCTTACACTATGACAGCTTGCCACAAATGCTATTTGTCAGCTCTCAGCAGTTCTGGCAGCCAGTTCAGTTTCACATCACACCAAGTGAGCAGATTCAATACAGCTTACAAAGGAACCACTGCACAAGTCCAACTCTTCAGATGATGCATACGACTGATCGCAAATAAACTCAAGAACTTACACAGGATCCCAAACTTGCAAGTAGACCCGTCCAATTTCTTCAGCAATCGGTGTAAAAATAGTACCTGCTGCATTGGATGCCTCAGCTTTTGAAAGGAAACAATCAACTCCCCTTGCTAGCAGAGAGACTACTTAGGCTTCATCACAAAGCTAAGGGAACAGCTCAGACTCTGTTCTCTCAGATTTAGGGACCAAACCACATTCACTTGAGGTAAAAAGTTTAGGTTGGGGTTGCTACTGATATTTCCATTACTACCAAAAAACCTTTTTTCTTGGAAAAGCTAAGTTTAGTATATTTGAAATCACTACCCTGGATTTCAGGAAAGCAGACTTTGGCCTCTTCAAGGATCTCCTCGCTAGAGTACAATGGGATGAGGCCCTGGAGGGAAGAGGGACACAAGAAACCTGGTTAATATTCAAGGATCACCTCCTCCAAGCTCAGGAGCGGTGCATCCCAACAAAGAGAAAGTCAGGTAGGAACACCAGGAGGCCCGCATGGATGAATAAGGAGCTCCCGGACCAACTCAGTCACAAAAAGAAAGCCTATAGGGGGTGGAAGCAAGGACAGGTAGCCTGGGAAGAATACAGAGAAATTGTCCGAGTAACCAGAGAACAGGTTAGGAAAGCCAAAGCCCTGATAGAGTTAAATCTGGCCAGGGACATCAAGGGCAACAAGAAAGGCTTCTATAGATATGTCAGTGATAAAAAGAGGTCTAGGGAAAATGTAGGCCCTCTCTGGAAGGAAACGGGGGACCTGGCCACCCAGGATATGGAGAAGGCTGAGGTTCTCAACGACTTCTTTGCCTCAATCTTCACTGGCAAGAGCTCTAGAGGCATGGCCCAAGTCACAGAAGGCAAAGGCAGGGACTGGGAGAATGAAGAACTGCCCACTGTAGGAGAAGATCAGGTTCGAGACCATCTAAAGAACCTGAAGGTGGACAAGTCCATGGGACCTGATGAGGTGCATCTGCGGGTCCTGAGGAAGCTGGCAGATGAAATTGCTAAGCCACTATCCATCATATTTCAGAAGTCGTGGCAGTCTGGTGAAGTTCCCAATGACTGGAAAAGGGGAAACATAGCCCCCATCTTTAAAAAGGGGAAAAAAGAAGACCCAGGGAACTACAGGCCAGTCAGTCTCACCTCTGTGCCCGGCAAGATCATGGAGCAGATCCTCCTGGCGACTATGCTAAGGCACATAGAAAACAAAGAGGTGATTGGAGACAGACAGCTTGGCTTCACTAAGGGCAAATCCTGCCTGACTAATTTGATGGCCTTCTATGATGAGGTTACAGCATTGATGGATAGGGGAAGAGCAACTGACATCATCTACCTGGACTTATCCAAAGCATTTGATACAGTCCCACATGACATCCTTGTCTCTAAACTGGAAAGACGT